TATATATATATATATATATATATATATATATATACGAGTCGAGGCTTGAAAATTCATTCTCGTTCGTTTTTTGGGGTAGGAGGGGGAAACGGAACAGAAGAGAGAGAGAGAGAGAGATAGTCGTCGAAAGGCAACTTTAGGCTTGCCTTTATCCAGTTTAATTCGAACGGAGGATGGACGGAGAGACGTGTTTTGTTCGCGGATAATCCTCTCCCAGCCTCGTACGCCATTAGAAATTCAAATTTCTCCGTCGGTTGGATGACGAGGCGCGGGAGTGGAAGAACGAGAAGAGGAGGGAGGGGGGGGAGGGAGGGAAGGAGGACACGAAAACGTGAGTGAATGCGTGAAGCTCATTATGCATTCGTCTTGCTTCCGCCGAAGACGCCGCTGATTATCGGTACCTCCTGCTTACAGCTGTTAAGGCCATTGTCTTGGAAACCTGGCTCTCGACGAAGGAAAGCTCTCCGGCGGAGCTTCCTTCGGCCTTCCTGCGACCTCATGGAACCCTTTGTTCTCTTCCTCCTTCTTTTTTTTTTTTTTTTTTTTTTTTTTAGTAAAAAATTCGAAACGAAAGGGAAATTTCGAGTCGTTCGTTTCGATAGAAAATGATTTATTAAAAAAATATTTCGAATGAGTTGGTCTAATAGAAAATTATTTCTCGTGATTTAGGAGAAAGGAAAATCAAAATTGCTCGCTTCGTTAGAAAATTATCAGAGCAAAATTAAAATCACTCGCTCTGCTAGAAAATTATTAGCGAGTTGTTGGAAAGAAAAATCGAATCTTTCACTTTCATTCACACTTTAGATAGAAAATTGTTCGTGAATTATTAAAGCGGAGGAAAATCGAGAATTTCGAATCTTTGTAAATTATTCGTTCCGATTAGAAAATTATTAATACGAAGGGGAATTTCGAATTACAAATGGCTTGTTCGAGCAGAAAATTAGAATTATTATATACAAAGGAAAATCAAGAATTTTAAATGTATGAAAATCGGTTGCAAGTAAATAATAATAAAATTATTCATGATTTATTGGGACGAAAAAAAATCAAGAATTTCGAATCGGTGGAGATCGCTCGCTTTATAATAGTAAAATTATCCACGAGTTTAACGAAAATATGCAATTTTCATATGCTCGTTAGCAGTTTTTCATCGGGACAAAGCGCGCAAATGACGAAACAACGTCTCGTCGTTTCTTCTAAATTCGAGGAAGACTGATTCGCCCTCGTGGCTCGTGCTGTCACGTGCCATACGTTCGAACGTTGAAAGATGCGGGCCGCTTTTCGTTTCGCTCGTTTCGTTGATTTGTTTCAGAACAGAAAAAAAAAAAAAAAAAGAAAGAAGAAAAGAAGGAAAGGTTGACATTTGGCCGGCACGTGTTACGCACATTTCGTCTCCGCTTTCCGCCTCCTCTCACTCCCCTCCCCCCTCTTCTTTCCCGCATCCTATTCCATTGTACCAAAACTTATTTATCATCCTTTAAATAAACCCATTTTATTTTATAGTCATGAGTTTCGAAGCGACAATTTCGCCCATAACTCGACGTCGAGTTATAATAAATAATTCAACGAACAATTACCAACACCAAACAATTTAATTCTCTCTTTCCTCGATAAACGTTCACTTCAATTTCACTTTTCTTTCAATTTTTTAATATCAACATCAATCCATTATGTGAACAGTAGAAATCACAAAATTCACTCTTCCATTAAACATCAATTTATTTCTCTCGGTGTTACACTAAAATTTATACTCGGCAACGAAACGAGAATCAACCAGAAGCGATAAACGATTGTTTGTTCGTGTAATGCGTATGTAATAAGTTTGTCATTGAGGATTATTCAGATGGTTGATCGATTACGCGTGCATTCAGTGATGGGAAAAATTTAATAGTTGAAGTTTGTTCTATAAATTTCGAAACGAACGCAAAATATCCATCTCCATCTCGTTCCAATCGTTCACAACTTGATAAATAAATGTCCCCAATCAATAGTGGGGGAAAATTTAATAGTCGAAATTACGAATAAAGTTATTTCGATAATCGTTATCGTTCGAGACATAATAATAATAGCAAATAATGCCAAGTAGTT